ACCCTGCCAATGGGTCAGCTTGGGTCAGACCCGTCGAGACAGTTCTCACGAGGATTTCAGCCAGCGAGGATTATTTCAAGTGAGGGTGACTTCTTTTCTGTCACAATTGCGGACTGTTTTGAGGATTTCAATGCGTTTCTTATTTATTCATTATCACTGCAACGACATAAAGCTGTCTAGGTTTTGCGGTGGAGTAATATCTGCAGTATAGTAAATCTCAAAGGATATAGGTTCAGTCTCTATTAGAAAACGATCATAGCTCACGTTGCGAATCGAATCCAACTTAGAACCTCGCGTGAAGACAAGAAAAAGAAAACCTCAACACGAGTAAATAAAGACAACTGACCTCCGCCCCCCTACCTACATTGCAGGAACCGGATGCTGGGCGTCACGGGGCGCTCCTGGGACGACATGGGCGGCCTCAGGTGGGAGCTGGTGGGCTGCCTGGCGCTGGCGTGGGTGATCGTGGGCCTGTGCTTGGCCAAGGGCATCAAGTCGTCCGGGAAAGTCGTCTACTTCACCGCCCTCTTCCCCTACGTCATCCTCGCCATCCTCTTCGTCAGGGGTAAAGGGCGGCCTCGGAGGCTGGTGCTGCTTTCTGTCCGTGTTTAAGTTATTTTTTCACGTTTGCTCATTCAATCTTTTCTATATTATTTTTTCTTGCAAATAGATTTGGGTGTATCTGTTTCTTTTACTTCTCTTTTTCTTTCTTTCTCCGTCCTTTCTCCATTTCACAACAAAGTGGTCCGTCGCACGCGGTATGCCACTTGAAAACAGACATCCGGAAATGTCTCACGTACCGCGTGCGACGCCATTTCTTTGAATTTTCCAGCGGGCTCCTTGCCACCTCGGGGTTTGTTGTCAAACTTTGCTCAAGCTTTCACATCCATTATTGCCCAGGATATAAAACTATAATTCCAAGAACAAGAAATACAAAAAATTAAAACTTTTGGAAGTAGTACGGCATAAAAAGAGTAATTCTGGTGTCTACACAGATATGCGCCAAACACAGTTGACATTACTGCCTCGAGAGCCCAGGGAGAGCGGCTGGGAAAAAAACATTGCGATGTGTGCGTTCTCTCATTCACAACATTGTCTCTTCCAGATAATAGACCATTATCATAACATTTGACAAGCTGTGGAGAAATGCAAATTTTTGCATGATACATGATCTCAATACAATAACAATAATCCACGGCAGAATGATCTAAATATTATGTTTGTCAGATATAATTTTCCAAATATGTATTTTCAGGGCAGATTCAATGCCAATTCATATATAACCAGGTAAATCCACTTCCATTTAGCTTGTTGAACCTAAAAATGAAATTTACTTTTTCTAAAGAGCATTATCAATGGTAAGGAATTCACTATCACAAATAAAAGAGGGAAATTTTGGTATTACTCTGGTTTTACTTCTAATGATTATAACAATATTGAGTGAATAATACAAATAATCATGTATTTAGCAACATCAGATGTCTCACAGTGTACTCTCATTGGCTAAACGTAATGATATCATTAGCTCTGCCCTCTCTTTGTGACCCATTCAGTCTGTGCAATATATTATGGTTAGTGTCTTTTTAGTGCAATTTCTTTGGAAATGATTCAGTAATAACAATGACAAAAAAAAAAAATGATAATAAATAAATAAATAAAAAAGAGACCAAGAAATATGAAATAAAAACAAAGTATATGATATCTACAATGAATATTGAGGAAGAGGAGGGGCTTAGCTCAGAAGTTGCCAACTATGATTTTCATTAAGACTGAGTGGGGCTACCTGTATCAAAGTACCATGTGCAATCCTTTATCTTGAGCTATCTTATGCTCCAATGCACTGAAGTCGTAAATAGAACGAGAATGTAAACCAAAACAGAATTGCCGATTCTGCTGTTATATTTCATCTCCCATTTATCTTATCTCTTGTATCTCTCCTCTTACTTCCCGATCTCGTCTCTCATCTTCCTCTTATTACTTCCCCTTTGCATCTCTCATCTCTCTCCTCTTACTGAACGCTTCTTCTCTCCCATCCTTATTTCTCATCTCTCTTCTCTTATGCCTTCTTCATATATCTTACCTCCCTCCCTTACCTTTCCTCTCCCTCTTCTTATCTCTCATCTCCCTCCTTTCATCCCCTTCCTGTTTCTAATCTCTCGTCTCTTATCCTTCCTTCTTACCTTTTGCCTCCCCTCCTTATCTCTCATCTCTCTCCTGTTACTTAACGCTTCTGCTCTCATCTTCTTATTACGCATCTCTCTTCTCATTACTCCTCTTACGTATCTCTTACCTATCCTCCTTATCCCCTGCCTCCCCTTCTTTTCTCTTATCCCCCTCCTCTTCCTTCGTGCTTCCTCCCCTCCTTCTTATTTCTCATCTCTCTTCTCTTATCCTTCCTTCTTACCTCTTATCTCCCCTTCTTTTCTCTTATCCCCTTCCTCTTCCTTCATAATTCTTTTCCTTCCATCTTATTTCTCATCTCTCTTCTCTTATCCTTCCTTCTTGTCTCTTACCTCCTCTCCTTACCACGTATCTCCCCCTCTTATCTCTTATCGCCCTCTCACCTCCTTTTACGTATCTCTTACGTCCCTTCCTTATCTCCTATCTTATCTCTTATCCCCCTCCTCTTCCTTCATACTTCCCCCTCCTTATTTCTCATCTCTCTTCTCGTATCTTTCCTTCTTACCTCATCTCCCTCTCTTACCTCCCCGTCTTTTCTCTTATCCCCCTCCTCTTCCTTCATACTTTTTCTCCCTCCTTCATATTTCTCATCTCTCTTCTCTTATCCTTCCTTCTTACCTCTTACCTCTATTCTTATCTCTTGTCTCCCCGTCCTATCTCCAGGCATCACTCTGGACGGGGCGATGAAGGGGATCGACTTCTACTTCCTGCAGCCGGACTTCTCTCGCCTGACGGAGGTGGAGGTGTGGAGCGACGCCGCCATTCAGATCTTCTACTCTCTCGGCGTCTCCTTCGGTTGCCTCATCACTCTTTCTTCTTACAATAAGTTCAACAACAACTGTATGAGGTTGGTGGATAAGTTAGTGGTGGTGATGATCGTGGTGGTGGTGATGGTGGTGATAATGATAATATTGCTTCTGCTGTTATTGTTGCTATTGTTCATACCAGTGCTTTTAATACCACGACTGCTATTATTGTTGCTAATATTATATGTACATATTTTCTCGACTTTCCATGTTTTTTGTCATATGCTGTATATTTCCCGGTCTATTATGGCGTTTACTTTACACGTTGGTTTATTTTCTCTCTCTGTTTTTTATTATTATTTTTTCCTAATCTCTGTCTTCGAAGTCGCCCCATTCGTATTTTCACCCCCCCCCCCTCCAGAGACGCCATCATCATCGCCTTCTCCAACTGCTCGACGTCCGTGTTCGCCGGCTTCGTCATCTTCAGCATCCTGGGCTTCCTGGCGCAGGAGCTCGGCGTGGAGGTGAAGGACGTGGCTTCCTCGGGCTCTGGGTTGGCCTTCATCGTGTATCCTGCGGCGGTGTCCCTCCTGCCCCTCCCGCAGCTGTGGTCTGTCCTCTTCTTCGTCATGCTCATCAACATTGGCTTGGCGTCGCAGGTGGGTGGCCGCTCTTTTTTTTCTGTTGTTCTTTTCTCATATCCATTGAATCATTCTTTGTTGATTATTGATATTGTTGTTGCGGTTGGTTTATGGCTTCCTTTATTGTTTTTATTTTACATCGTTCTTCCTTTATTAGCTGTAGTATTTAACACGTAATTCATTCGTTTGTATTGGCGAAATATTATTTTTCCTCAATTGGTTTCTCTTTTCTTTTGTCTATTATTTTTCTATAGAATGGTCTTCTCTCTATTTTCTTGGCTCTTTCTCTTTCTTCTCTTCATTTTTATATTCTGCTTTTCTTCTTTTTGTCCTTTCTTTTCCTTTCTCTTGCCAACTTCTTTTTTCTTCCTCGTCCCTCTTTCATCCCTCTATTCTGAAGCTTCATTCTCCCTTTTCATCCTAGTTTGCTCATCCTTTCTAACTTAGAAAGACTTGCAAGTTACTATAGTCTGATTAATGTTAGAAAAGGTAAACTAGCAACTCCGATTCGCCAACTTTAAAACAAATGGTGTAAAGTAATAAGAGACATTGCATAAAAGTAAAAGGAAAAAAAATCCTGACGTATGTACGTATCAGTATCAGCTGATTAGAATAACAAAATAAACGAAGAATCGGAGAACAGGGCGAGTTGTCAGTTTTTACTTTTTTGAAATTGGACGCACATTTCCCAAATGCTGGTATGAAAAATTATTCCAAAACATCTTTGGTCTTCATTTTCCAGAAAGAGACAGATATAGGGAAGAAACAAATTGCCAGATAACTGCTATAGTTTGAAAGCAACATAGCATATCCTTATTATTATACTTGAGACGCATATCTGCATCTGTATTTTTTGTTAATTTATCGAATAGGCACATACGGGGACAAATGAAAGAAGAAAACTGAAATGAAACTAATTTGTGACACAGGAAAAGGAAGAAAACATATAATCAGTTTTCTATTATTTCATATTTCTCCACTTCTCTGTCTCTGGCCCAGCTGACGATGGTCGAGACCGTGACCACCACCCTGTTCGACTACATGCCCTCCCTCAGGAGCCGGAAGCCCCTCGTCGTCGCCTGCGTGTGCTTCGTGATCTTCCTGATGGGGCTCTCGATGTGCCTCGAGGGCGGGATACTCATGTTCGAGCTCTTCTTCTGGTACTCCGCCGGGATCTCCGTCATCATCCTGGCCATCACGCAGATCCTCGCCGTCATCTGGGTCTACGGTAGGGCGGGGAGGGGGAAGGGAGGAGGGGGGAGGGGGAAGGGAGGAGGGCGGGGTGGAGGGGTGTTGGTGTTGTTGGCGGTGGAGGTGCAGTTGATGCCCCTTTTCTTATTTATGTTGAATTTACACGCACGTAAGTACGCATGTGCCAACACACACACGCACGCACACACGTCCAGAAATAGCAATAACGAATCTATGCGGGCTGAAACCACAGGCACATGTTCACAAATTTCATGTTAAGAATCCATAATTTCAATTTGTGCACGAGGGCTGTTTGCGTAAATTGTAATGTTTCTTGTATCCTCTGGTTCTTTGTTTTCATCTTTGTATTTTATTTTGTTTTTGTTGAATGTTATATATACGATACCATTCCTTTAATTTCTTCTCTCTCTCCCTCGACCCCTTTCTGACACCATCTTCTGCCCTCCTTCCCGCAGGTTTCCGAAGATTCCTGAGTAACATCAAGGAAATGGGCGTGTACATCCCCGCCCCTCTGAAGGCGTACTGGCTGGTCACTTGGATCTTCATTACGCCCGTGCTGCTCGTGGTGAGTAGCGTGGGGCGAGTTTGGAGGCTGGAAAGAAGCTTTTGCGGGCGTGGGCTTAGCGAGAGATAACTTAACGTAGATTTTGATTAGTGTTATGCCAAGAAGGTTGTTTCTGTCGATGGGTGGTTGTGTATAAATGCATATTGCACGCAAACCAGTTTACGAACAAATACACACATACCTACACTCTCACACTCCCACACACACACACAAACGCCCTCACGCCCCCTTTCTTCCCTCCGCAGCTGATCTGCTTCTTCTACATCTACTTCTTCGTGCCGGCGTACTGGGGCGACTACGTGTTCCCGCCCAGCATCCAGGTCCTGGGCTGGCTCCTCTCCGCCTCCTCCATGGGCCTCATCCCCCTCGGAGCCCTCGCCGCCCTCTGCAAGACCAAGTCCTTCAGGGGACTTTTCCAGACCTCGCCCGACCTGTGTCCTGCGCACGTCAGGTCACAGAGGGCGGCGCAGCAGGGGAGTCCTGCGCCCCGGTTCGAGTATAACAACGCGGCGTTTGAAGGGTCGCGGGCGAAGGTGAGTGTGGGGAGGGTGGGGGTAGGGATGGGCGGGGTTATGGGGTGAAAGCGTACATGTATTAATGCTGCGTTCGGAACTCCTCGTCTTGCTCGTCCAGACAACATGTCCGGGACCAGCAGGACAAGTGGGCCGCGTTCGGAACCTTGAAGGCCCTCTCTGCCCAGAAAGCAACTGGCTCGAATTTTATCATACCGGTGTCTATTTTAAACGCTGCGTAGGTTTTGTAACTCCTTTGATGCATATTTAACTTACCTGCAACTGACAAACACAAACATATCCTTTGAATACACCAATAAAGGGCCATAAAATTACTCATCAATATCTTGTGGTTACCTGCAGCTGTTAATGTTTACATACAAAGCTGCTCGCCCACCTTCGCAGGAGGACCAGCTGGAGATGGACAACTTGTCCGGGACGAGATAGTAGAGATTCTGAACGGTCAAAACATCTCATCCAACTGGCCTGGACGAGCAGGACGAGCAGTTCCGAACGCAGCACATGGGAGAGTGGAGTGTTGGAGTGTGAGGGTATTTGCGTGTGTGTTAAGGGTGGAGGGAGGACTAATTAACAATAGCGTTGCGTGGATCTGCGACGGATGTGGCCGACCTAATTTCTCGAGTTCGTTTTTCGCATCTTCTCCCATCACACCACCCAACTCCATACTCCATTCGCACAGCATATAAGCCCTCCTTCACTATTTTTACCCCAAACTCCGACTACACACCACCCACACCAACATGAAACCAAATACTTAACCTCAATAAATCTTCACACCATACTTCCATTCTTAACATGAGCTCTATATCCCACTGCTCCAAGGTCTATATACCTTGCACTGCTCTAGGCCTTCCCTTGACGTCCGGACCTTCACCCATTTCGCGTTCTTTACCTTCCCGATCCAACCTCTGCTTTACCCTACTCTTCCCCTTCCCTCGCTTCCTCTTTTCCTTCCTTCACTTCCTACTTCCTATTTCCGCCACTAAAACTCCTGTTCCCCCTCCTTCTCTTCTCCTTCTCCTCCTCCTCTTGCCCCTTCCCCCGCCGCCCCCACTTCCTCCTCCTCCTCTCCCTCCTCCCACCTAACGCACCCAGTCCTTCTCACCTCCCTCCACACCCCTTTCCTTAGACCAGACCTGGGCAAACTACGGCCCGCGGCCACATCCGGCCCGCGAAAAGCCGGACAGGGGCTAAATATATATTTATTAAATATTGATATTTATTAAATATATAATTTACCAAATATATAAATTATTAAGTATACAATTTATTATTATATATATATATATTAAATATATAATTTATGAAATATATATATTTATTAAATATATAATTTATTAGATATACAATGCACTAAATATATAATTAAGTGCATTTTAATGTGGAAGAAAGTTGAGCAGAATTAAGTTCAAGTTATCGTTGGTGTGACACAATTCAGGTTTCTCATGTGGCCCCTTGTAAAAATCAATTGCACACCCCTGCCTTGGACGATTATCTCGTGATAACCAAACCACTCTCTCTCTGCTGAATATCAACTTCGAGCCAATACAAATTCGTCAAATCAGAAATTATGATAGGCACTGCGAAATGGCTGACTCCCGACATTGCCTAACTTTTCCCCC